AAAACAAACAAACAAACAAAAACAAAGCTAAAATATAAAAGCTAAGTCTATTTAAAAAACAAACAAACAAACAAAAACAAAGCTAAAATATAAAAGCTAAGTCTATTTTTAAAAAAACTAAGTCATTCGAGACAGGGCATTGTAAATGATGTTGTACTGTCCCTTTAAAAATGATTGTAATTTGACCCAAACATCTGTATTTGCTGAGTGAGGGTGTTTTAATATGAGGTGGGTGTTATTTGGTGAAAATATGCAGATAAGGAAGGATACAAGTGTATTCTATRTTTATCTGGCAAACGTCTTGTAGAAGCATGTTGTTTGTTTGACTTCATCAGTTTCTCTTTTTGTTGTGGAAGAATTTTAGCCCACTCTTAACATTATTGCATCAGTACCTTGAGGTTTGCAGATTTTGTTTCTGCACCACTCTTAAKGTTTCGTCGCAGCATTTCAATCAAATCCAGGTCTGGATTTTGAGCGGACCATRGTGTAGGGGTCACCTCAAGTGGAATGACACCTTGATTCTGTTGTTTTTGGGGAAAWTTTTCTGTTTTATGATACAGTTTGCTCTGAGCTTCTGCTGTCAGACGGATGACCTCAACTTTGAATGTCTTGGTTTACAGAGGAGTTCTTGGTCAGCTCAATGACTGGGAGGTGCCCCGGTTTTTGGTTACAAAACAAACCACCTGCCTTGAACCAACCAGAGGTAGTATGAGGTGTTAAAATAACATTCTGCGTTTGGTTTTCGCCTAACATGGCAATGTGAATTATGGAAAAACGTATCTACTTTGGACCCAATTACAAAAAAAAAACCTTCCAGAAATGTTGTGGTTCAGTCAGATGCATCTGTGCAAACCTATGTTCTACTGCTGTAWTTTTTTAGGAAGATGATATTGTTCCTGGTAACCCTCCCAAACAAACCATTCGTGTTCAGACTAATTTGTTCTGCTGATATTTAACGTGGTGCTTGTAAAATCTTAGATTTRCATCTGTTTTGGTTTCCACTTGTGAATAATCTTCCTCTTTGTAAAATATAGGACTCTGGATTATTTATGAATTCACCCTTAAACATTTCATGGGCAACAGTTGCTTCTCTAGGTCATTGCTGATGTCTTTTCTTTTTGGTGTTGTGTTACAACACATTTGTATGTGGGMATGCAGCAAACTGCCCAAACTTCTGTTTTATAAAGGAGGCAGATGGTCAGATAATAAATACATTAGCTACTTGTTCCTCATAAATCTAATGGAAGGAGTCATGACAGGCTTATATTTTCACACGTTTTGTTGTCCCATTTTTGTTTAATAAATTATGACCTGGTGGAATTTCCACCTCTCCCTGGGCTGCCACCTTATCATGGTGGAGAGGTTTGAGTGTCCCAATGAGGAGCTATGTAAGCCCCCGGTAGGGTCATCCAAGGCAAACAGGTCCCTCACCTGAGGGATCAGACAAAGTGYAGCCCAAAGACCCCAATGATGAGTACCATAAATGGATTCAGTGTTCCCTCGCTCAGACGCGGGTCACTGGGGCCCCACTCTGGAGCCAGGTCTGGATGTGGGGTAYGTTGGCGAGCGCCTGRTGGCCAGCTTTTCACCCATGGAGCCCAGTYGGGCACAGCCCAAAGAGGAAAYGTGGGTCCCCCTTCCCATGGGTTCACCACCTGTGGGAGGGACCGTAGGGGTCAGGTGCAATGCGTGTTGGGCAGTGGTCAAAGGCGAGGACCTTGGTGGTCTGATCCTCAGCTACAGAAGCTGGCTCTAGGGACGTGGAATGTCACCTCTCTGGTGGGGAAGGAGCCTGAGCTGGTGTGTGAGGTTGAGAGGTTCCAACTAGGTATAGTCRGACTCACCTCGACACATTGCTCTGGCTCTGGAACCAGTCTCCTTGAGAGGRGTTGGACACTCTTCCACTCTGGAGTTGCTCATGCTGAGAGGCGCCGAGCAGGAGTGGGCATTCTTACTGCCCCCCATTTTGGTACCTGTACTTTGGGGTTCACCCTGGTGAATGAGAGGRTAGCCTCCCTCYGCTTACRTGTGGGGGGAYGGGTCCTGACTGTTGTTTGTGCTTATGCAYCTAACAGCAGTTCAGATTACCCACCCTTTCTGGAGTCCTTGCTGGAGAGCGCTCCTAACGGGGACTCCCTCGTTTTGCTGGGGAACTTCAACACTCACATGGGTAATGATAGTGAAACAGGAGGGGCGTGGTTGGGAGGAATGACCCCCACCCCCGGGAATCTGAACCCAAGTGGTGTTTTGTTATTGGACTTCTGTGCTCGTCATGGATTGTCCATAACAAACATCATTGGCCACCAACACTATCTATAGTGGGGATGGTGTGCTGCTGACCTCAACTCGGGACATTTTTGGGTCGGTGGGCAGAATATTTTGATGACCTCCTCAATCCTAACGACACGTCTTCCCATAACGAAGCAGAGCCTGAGGACCCTGGGTCGGATTCTCCAATCTCTTGTGCTGAGTTCACTGAGGTGGTTATAAAGCTCCTCTGTGGCAAGGTGGATGAGATTCGCCGGAGTTCCTTAAGGCTCTGGATGTTGTGGAGTTGCGTTGGTTGACACGACTCTACAATATCGCGTGGACATCGGGGGCAGTTCCCCTGGATTGGTAGACTGGGGTGGTGGTCCTCCTGTTTAAGAAGAGGGACTGCAGAGTGTGTTCCAACTATAGGGGGATCACATTTCCAAACCTCCCTGGTAAGGTCTATTTGGGAGTCCTGTAGAGGAGGTCCGTCGGATAGTCGAATCTCGGATTCAGGAAAAGCAGTGTGGTTTTCTTTCTAGTCGTGGAACAGCGGACAAGCTCTACACACTTCAGCAGGGTCCTGGAGAGTGCATGGGAGTTCGCCCAACAAGTCTACATGTTTTGTGGACCTGGAAAAGGCGTTTGACCGGAGTTTRAGTATCTCGGGGTCTTGTTTACGATTGAGGGAAGAATGGAGTGGGAGATCGACAGGCGGATTGGTGCTGTGTCTGCAGTGATGCGGGCGCTGTACTGGTCTGTTGTGGTGAAGCGGGAACTGAGCCAGAATGCAAAGCTCTCAATTTACCGATCGGTTTATGTTCCCACCCACATCTATGGTCACGAGCTTTGGGTAGTGACCGAAAGAATGAGATCGCGAATACAAGCGGCCGAAATGAGTTTCCTTCGCAGGGTGTCTGGGCTCTYCCTTAGAGATAGGGTGAGAAGCTCGGTCAACCAGGAGGGACTCAGAGTAGAGCTGCTGCTCCTCCACGTGGAGAGGAGCCAGTTGAGGTGGTTCGGGCATCTGGTTAGGATGTCTCCTGGACGCCTCCCTCGTGAGGTGTTCTGGGAGGAGGTCCAGAGGAAGACCCAGGACACGCCTTGGGATTCCACCGGATGAGCTGGTTCAAGTGGCTGGGGAGAGGGAAGTCTGGSTCTCTCTGCTTAGGCTGCTGCCCCCGTGACCCAACCTCAGATAAGTGGAAGAAAACGGACGGACGGATGGACCTGGTGGAATCAGTTGTGTTTTTATTCACTTGAGGTTAGATCTAAACTATTTAGAATCTGGTAAAAAAAAAAAAAGATAATTTTTATCATGACCTGATAAATGAAACCTTAGAACTGAAACAGAGTGAACTTTTGTCCAATGACTGCAGTCATTCAAATAAAAACACAGAAATGTGCAATATTTTAAACTTAAATTCCTCAAAGATGCTTTTTGTCTTGTAAAATAATAATAAYAATAAAAAACAGAAATTTTAGCAAAACACAGATGTAATGTAATGAGACACAAAACTTGTTTGAACTTTTATAATCTGTATAAAAGTCTTGACCCATTCCCATATAACACCTCCACAAAGTTAACCCTTAACCTGTACTTGTATCTCCCTCTACACTGTCTGTAATTTTGTGTGGAATCTACAAAATGTTTCACCATTTAGAAATATAATAACAGCAAATTTAAAGGTGTTTCAAAAAATATTTTTCAGCACACCTACTTCAGCAAGTCCAGAAGTTTTTGATGCTCCTAAGTTAGGTCAGTTTCACTCCTGTTCAGCAAAATCCACAAAYTTCCTTGTACACAAATTGTTTAAGSCAAACTTTAATCTGTCTGTCTGGGTTCTGAGCTTTTTATGTTGCAAATTATAAAATTAGCAGAGATTCAAATTCACAGATCACAGATCAAATTCACTTAAAATATATTCTCTTTTTATTAACTCAACCATACAGAAGTTACAGAAAAGGAGGAAGCAGCTCCTATCATACCAGAGGAGAGTCCAGTGAGTACTCACTCACTCACTCACTCACTCACTCACTCACTCACTCACTCACTCACTCACTCACTCACTCACTCACTCACTC